CGAAAGGCATTAAACAAGGATGTCCAATAAGTCCTCAAATATTCATTCTTATGTTGCATCATGTGCTATGCACGCTACAAGAATTCATCCCAGAATTGAGATTAACACAAATCCACGATATAAAACTACCTTGCATTCTGGGATATGCAGATGATATAATGATAATTTGCAAAAGCGAAGAAGATGTGGAAAGACTGCTTTCAGTTCTGGAACCGCTACTCGCATCAATCGGGCTTGAAATTAATATGAAGAAAACGAAGGTTTTATATCGTGATCCCGAAATCATAAACAATATAGAGTCGGAGAAAATAATGAAATTTGGAAAGTACGAATTGCCGGTAACAACCATCCTGAAATACCTTGGAGCGCAAATCACCAGCAGCTTAACTAGAGGTGCAACAACGGCAGACAGGATAAGAAAAGCACAGAAAGCGTTTTTCCATTTATGTTCATTTCTTAAAGAACATCGCCTTCCGTGGGATGTGGTTAAAAGATTGTACCACTGTCTAGTGACTCCGGTGGTGACTTACTCGATGGAAGTATCTACACTCATTAAAATAAATAGGAATACACTCAGAGCCATGGAACAGGAAATGCTTCTCACGCTCAAAGGGTTAAGTGATGAGAAAGCGGAAGCTGAAAATAACACTACAAAAGTAGCTAATCCTAGAGAAGATGAACAAATAACGGAAAACGACAACTCACCATATGATGGAATGGAACCCCAGCAAAACGAAAACAATCCATATATACCTCAGAATTAGCTCAACGGTTATACAATAAATAACAAAATCAGAATTGCTAGATTGAACTACTATGGACACATTATTAGAAGTGAGGATAACGGCATCCTAAAAACAGCACTGGAATACAAGATAGACAAGGAGAAGAAAGTTGGAAGACCAGCATACACATGGAGGACGTGCATAAGACAAGACATCGAAAGAAGTGATATCAATATCAATGAATGGCAAGAAATAGCTAAAGATAAAGGAAAAATGAAAGAATCAACGAAGAAATTGTTTAGAGTAATGGTAGAATCAGTATATAAGGATAGTAGCGACTCAGACAGAGACAGCGATGAAAGCTCACTACTAACGTCAACATTTGCTGGATTCAGTGATGAAGACTCGATAAACTTTCGATTCGATGAAATTAATTAATAAATAAAATTAAAAACAATTTATTATCAACGCTAAAAGAAGTCAAGAGGAAAATATAAAATATCGCCATCAGAGATACTACAAGTAGAGATCGAAAAAAAAAAGCGGCAAACACAGAAAGCATATGGTATGTTGCATGACATTTCAAATTAATGTATTGAATCAGTTAGAAAAGGAAATAACGAATGGGGATGAATCATATCTGTAAGGAATAATTAAACAAAGGTTCATAATATATTTATGGGCAGAAATACAGAGAAAAGGAGATAGAAGAGCTTCTGTAGAGCAGACCGTACAGAGGGTATGGATGATAAAAAAAAAAAAAATAAAAATTAAAAAAACACTCAATGAAATTAGTCGTAACAGAGTAACAGAACGAGCTTAAAAACAGTTGGGGGGGGGGGGGGGTTGGTGGACAATAGACACAATTGTAACACAATACACAAGACAAGTTGGGGTTAATACACAAGACAAAATGACAAAATAAGTGACGACAGAAGACAAGACTGGGACAAAAAAAAAAAAAAAAAAAAAAAAAAAACAAGAATGCTAACAAAAAAAAACAAGACAAAATACAAGAATGTGCAATTATATTATAAAAACTATTTGGATCAACACAAAAACAACAGTGACCACATGGGCACCATAGCCTAGAAACGTCTGTGTGTTGATTTAAAATAGAGGCTCATAGAAGCGAAATTTACCAATAAAAGGGGTCCAGTGTAGAGTTTAAGCAAGTTGCTGCCACTGGATCACTACAAAAAAAAAAAAAAATAATAAAGCTAGCATACGACTAATACAGGTCTTCGGCGCATTATTAGTCGGATTATTACTAAGCAGGCTTTTTGATAACTTTGGATTGCCCCCTCACTTTCTTTCTATCAACATAATCGAAAATTTTTATATTCAGAGTGGTGCTTTCACAAAATTTGAAAGTTTGGTCCATGTTCAACATTTAATCATAATTTGCTACCTCAAGCAATCAAAAATTCATCCATCCAAGCAGGATCATAATTCTAAATGTTCATTGGATAGCTTATTGTAGGAATTTATCCGCCTCTTAAGTACATAATGAGGAACTAGAACTACAAGTATTCAGAAATATATCTCTTAACTTTTTGCCATTCTTTCATTTACACTAAGACGCTCTAACCCATTTTCAGAGGTTTAATTTTTGTTGGACCGAACTAAACACAGTACCACCCAGAAACTCGCTAATCCACTTGGTGCATGAATTTTGAAACAAACAACAATGTAAAGCTCTACTTAAAGATGTAAATGAATTTTTACCGTCCCTCTGGATCCCACTTCAGCACAGGGACAGCCCAAAATCATCAAAACTCAGTTCGCCAAGCAGAAGCTCACGAACACTAGCGTATAAATTCATAGGATTTTGACAGTTCTTACAGTAATGCATCTGTAATTTGTGTACAACATCGGAAGTCCCTCCATTTTTACATATTCTGCAGAAAAAATATATCCGAGTCTCTCCTTTTTTACATATTCTGCACAAAAACTTCTTTCTAAGCCCCGCCCTGACAAGATTTCCTGCCGTTTTTTTTATGAATGGGGCGTGACAGAAAGTATCTTTTGTGCAGAATATATAAAAAGGGTGGACTTCAGATGTTAATCTAATTGCATATAAAGAGTTACCAGACATGTTTTACACTATTTTATAGCTGTGAGAGGTACAGCATACATGACATGCAAATTTTCTCTCAACTTGAATTTTGGCTCTTTTGTGGCGGGTGAAAAAATTAACGTCAATGACGACTTGGTTTGGGGAGTACGTTTATTTCATTGAAACAGTGATACAATTATCACTTATTTTAGTACATTTTCAACGATTTTTTTGATAAAATTGCAAAAGCATTTGTTGTAGCAGATTGTGAGGGTTATTTCTTATCGATTGGTGTATTTAAATTTTAATTTCATCTATATATGACAAAGTTATAAGCGTTCAAAACCTTACACCTTTTCGTGGCGGTTGCAATTTTAGATTTTCGATTTACCACCAGTAACTTCCTGTAAGACGTAGTCTACGTCAAAAACAGAAAGGAAGGACTCGACCTAAAATGCCGGCGATAGTAGACTGCAGTAGCTTCTCAGTGTCAGTAGTCGTGGTTGGGTACTGAATTCATCTGAACAGGCCTTACCTTTTCTATGGTGAAGTAAAACTACTTTGTCCATGGTAAAAAACTTTTGAACATGAGATTCAGGAAACCGCTGAGATTAGTCATTTACGAAAAAATCTGTGTAGCTCCCCTTCTTTATCATCATGGCTCTCAACTTTTTACTTTCTATACGTTTATCCACATCTCCCATCGAATAATTACCAACAGCATCCAAATTTCGGTTCAGGATCTTACTGGTATAGTCGTTTGATGACTACCACCTCCTTGTATCCGCTTGCTGTTCCTTCATATTTTATATCCTTTCTTGGTCATGCCGGAATCGCATAATAGTCTCCCTGAATCTGCTGGCGGTTCCAATTGCGTTCAATAATACCGTGAATCAGATTGTATCCGTAACCTAATTTTACAATTCTGCTAGCAGCATCTTTCCTATTACTACTGTTGTCTTCAGTGAAACGAACACCCAGAAGCGAATGAGCATAGAGAGACTGCGAACCGGTAATACGGGATCTACCGACTCCACCAGCCTCCACAGTCATCGTTCGGCAGGATCGTTTGGCACCGGGCTGGTGTTGATATCGTACATGAGCCCTGCAATCGGATCTGCATTCTACAATTCTCCTTACCCATACAATTGGCTCTCGGTCCGGATTATATGGCCATCTGGGGGTAACACGTATTCAAGCCTATCTTACGTGGCGTTGTGACTCTGATTAATTCGTTTGGACTTCCCCAAAAACAAAAATTCTTTCGAAACTATGAACATCTCTCAAAAGCCGTGTGGACTTTCTGTAGAGGCTCATTTCGCAAAAAGCATAAGGACATGGAGTGTCTCGTCAATTATACAATATCTTATTATTATTGAGGACCATTACGCTAGAAAATCAACAACAAAATAGCAATCCCACTGTTAAAAAAAACTTCCCAATCAAGTAAACAAAGTAGTAAACCTTAGCAACGGTTGGCAAAAGTCATTTTATATTATATTTTGTGTCATACTTGTCATGTTGTGCCATGACGTGCCGATCAGCGTGTCACGATGTGTTTCGGCACAGTGTACAGAGTTGATTATCCCTTGTCCGTCTCTGTAACTATCACAACAATCAACACAACGTAGGAATCCCACCCGTGCGCGATCAGTTGGTGATCGTAGAACTGTAAAATTGAATGGTCATGATTTTGTTCTCCCTAAAATAAGAGTATTCTGTCTTTTTTATGTTTTGGATTATGATAATTCAATTAGTCTGAGTGATCAGCGAATCCAAACACATAAAACAACCAACGATACAGATAAAACGGTTGCTACGACTACCATGACAAACTCGCTCTGTAACATAGCTAGATCCGAGTGGTAGAAGGATAATGATATATTGCTTGCCTGCTTTGTTGCAATATACACGGATGAGGACAAAGCTTGATATGAATCGAGAAAAGACATCAAAAAAAAAAATTCCCATTAACACACGTGTATCATCTTCGGGTTTACTTCGTGAAGCAGCTTGCCAACAATTTGCTCGTTTCCTTCTACCGCCCCGAGTGAGTTGTGCCGCACGGACTGCTTGTCATGAAAAAGAACGAAGAAGATTATATCATTATTGCTTTTCACTTCTGACATAGCGTTATTATTCGGTTCGTTGATCGCTTGTCATTTTGTCATTTGGAGATATTTTTGATTCCTTGTGAGTGATAAATGGATATAAGGAGGGGTATACTGTTCAAATGTCTTTTATTTCTTATATGTTTGGTGGCCTATCCTACTTAATTTTAGATTACAATTTTAAGTCCAGAAAAAAATGTACGGTTCATAAAATCATGAATACTGATTTTTTTAAGCTCATAAACGTGGGCTAATGTTTTTTTTTAACAATTGACTTTACTTTTCTTAGAGATTTCGTTTCACCCGCAAAAGAAAAGTTGCAATTCAGAGATTTGGACGATGCTTTTGGGAGTTACATTTGATAGTTCACAGTTCAGCTTAAGTCTAACTACCAACGGTTGCATGACCTAAACAAGCTTGTAAGGGGTGATTCAAATATGAAATCCACTCTTGGGGCGGAGGGGGTGCTTTAATTTGTGCCAGTACCTGTAATTGGTATGGGTAAAAGCATGTCACAGGGTGCGAGAAAAAATCAATCGAAAAACTTGTGGATGTCATATTTGAACCGCCCCTAAGGTAGAAACAAAAATGCTTCAATTATAACACACCTGAACTGCTGCAATTTATTCCGAACATTATACAACAAGTGCACGGCACCATTCGCGTATCTATTAATATACAATAAATAATAAATTAAAATCAACGCTTGATGATTTCTACTTTTCTTTGGCATACATAGGCGCCGACATAGCTTACCAACACTAATCACGATTCAACCATTCTCAACCCCGCGGATCAAACACCGCCCCGTAGAAAAGCGGTAATCTCGTGGGATCGTGCCGAACGTAAACCAGGAACGGCTGATTTACATTAAAGTAAACTGATGAGGCAGACCGGTCGATGAGAGTCATCGTCACCGCAGCCCCCTCGGTTCCATTTTCGTCCACGCTAAGATTCACCTTATGGCTGATTTGACTCACAAATAAACGGGTTTTCCCCCGAGCATTCTGGTTCAGCATCATACCGAGATCACTGCTCTGAACGTTAAAGATCGACTTTACGCCAAGTTTGCGGAATGACTTCTCCAGATTGGTGCTGCTCTCAAGTTGCGTCCGCGGGAAGGTGAGGGTTGTCGTGCGAAGTTTCATCTTGGTGATCATCGAATCAATCTGGCCGGCAGTCAGCCGGTTCTGCAGCTCACGTATCTTGACTCGCGAAGAGTTTACGGGCATCATGACATACATGGTGGTTGCGTTGTCACTATAGGGAAGTCCAATCATTTTGAAACCCAGAGACTTTTCGTAGAGATAGGGCAAACATTGAATCATAGACATCATGTCCACCTTGATAGTGGGCCGGTCCTGTCCATCAGGGTAGAAATCTTTTGGCCTGGTGATTTTCGGAATGAATTCATTTTGCCAGGTAGCTTTGAAGTACAGCGAGCTAGCGATGACCATCGAGGTGTCTGTGGAGAAGGATCCACTCAAAATTTCTCGGATCTTGCCGAAGGTCGCTTGGTTAGCCCAATTGTTGATGGTAGATATAGCGACTGGTGCATTTCGGAAGTCAATCTTCTGGGTCGTTGCACCGTAGATTTCCATAGCTGCGGATTCATATTTTGGATTTATTGGCAGATTGTTCTGCACAAAAATTGCGTTGGCGATGTTGAGGATGTTTACTCTGCAAATAGGAAACGAAATTAATGAGAAATAAGTGATTTGTTTGACTTTTTTTTTTGTGTGACTTACTTTGGAGTGGCCGGTGGTTGAGGCTCGTTATCCTCATAATCGTAATCGTAGGTATTGCAAGTATTCGTTTTCCAACCGAGCAGATCGAGTTGCTTCGGAGTTTTGGACAGGAGGTTTCTCATCATAGCACCCGCTCTTCGGTGGTATTGTTTGTAGTCAGTTTTTTCATTGAGGTTGAGGGCACCAAACAACTCTGCCCGAGTTAGTCCGTTGGAACCCATTAGGAGCATGTTCAGCACTCCCATGATGCTGACTGGTGAGAAAACCTCTGCTGGGCTGTTAGAGTCGGCAGATATCCGACCTATTTGAAGGGCCAACTCAACCACTGCACGTGACAGCTGTTCATCGTTTGCGGTGTCAATGTTTCTCACGGACGAATCAAGATCCACACTTAGCTGAGATCTTCGATTCGAAAAATTGATGGTTGTTGGAACTCTAGCTCTGGCAACTGGAGACGGTGTTGTACGGTACAGCGGTGCGAAACTCCCTGATTGCAGCCATGATTGTGCCGTAGCTTGGTTTACTACGCAGTAGCATAGCAATGCGGCGAAGGGTATGACAATTGTTTTCCTCATGACTCTAGAACGAGATGCGAGCAAATTGTCTATGGTTAATAATTCATTATTTTTGTTAACGTGGAGAACAACGTATCGATGTAGTGAAATGTGGTGGAAACCGGTTTGGTAGCTTTGATTATATTGATCGCACATGGCAAGTGATAGGATTGATTTCTGATGATAGTGGAAGTTTCCAAGGCATCTCAATCCAACAAGCGGATAGCAATTAGCAGCTTACACATCGAGGTTACGTGTGATTTGTTGAATCTGCATTTTAAACAGCAATCAAGATAGTCGTCCACTTCGATATACATTGCAGAGTTTTTGTTTAGTAATAAGCCATTCCATAGCAAAACAATATAGTGGTTCTAAAAATTTTGTAAAAATAGGTAGTTTTGTTCCTTATCTCAAAATATTAGACCCGTATTTTTTATGTCGTCAGTAGGGTGACCAGTTTCATGTTAGATTGATTCAAAAACTCGTTTGTTATCAAAAATTACATTTTTCAAAAATTTTAAAGATCAAAATATCAAATAAAAAGTTATTAAAATACTTTTTAGAAAAAAAATATAATGGTATAAAAACAATGGAATTTTGAATTGAAAAACATAGATTGTATTTGTTTTTATGGTGTTCATGGTTTGTAGACATAGGGTGCAATATGTTTTATAATTTTCCTAGAAAATTTAGGCTTTTTTACACAACATATAAAAATATCAACGATGTTCGTTTTTTAGTTAAATTTGTTTGAAGTTATCATGTTTTGGGCATTCACTCTATACTCCTATGCAACTAGACTACCATGCGTCTCCATTGATTTATAGCGACTGCTTCAAAAACCACGGTGGACTTCATAGGCCTCCCAGTGCTGAAAAACCGGACCGACACGGCGATATTGACAAAGCAGCTTGACAAGAAAATGATCTTCTGCTGTGATCAAGCATTAGTTTTTATTAGTTAGGTAGGTTCCGATTCAACACATTGTAGTTTCATTTTTATACCTGTGATCTTGACTTTTTTACCTAGGAGATGAGTACTTAAGGGGGTTAGATTTTGATAAGTTCTTTAGTGGGAATGACACTGATGAAGACTGCACATTGTAGTCGAAATACGTATCTATCATGGATACCAAAATTAATTAAGTGGAATTAAATGGAAGATAACCTTTTTTGCTGTTTTATTTAAGCATTCCGCTAACAACCCATTTTCATAACTTCACAAGATCGATGTGGGTTATAGCTCAATCTCAAGGCTGTTGTAGGAAAAAGAAAGCGACAGCCGTTGGAATACTGTCATGAGGCGAATAGATCATGTTTTTCAATGGAGGCGACCCCGGCGTAGTGGTTAGAATCCATACCTCTCACGCCAAAGTCACGAGTTCAAATCTCAACCCGGACAAGTCACGAATGACCCAAAAGCGTTAAAATGACTATAATTTAAAAAATCAAATCAATGTTTTTCACTGAGATTCAGCAACATAAAATGCTGAGCTACTCGGTGGTACCCATTTCGGCAAAAAATCTAAGTGTGTAGACCTCAGGAACAGCAAAGTGGCCCTCGGGAAGACCTGGAACATCTGTAAAAGAGGTCAATCGTAAAAAAGAATCTAGAGCTCTACGATTTTTTGAAACAACTTGTTGTTATGTTGCATGAATTTGGATTTGAGGCCAGATTGTGCACTCTGGTGGCCACCGGACTGTCCTCTGGCAGATCCAGAACATCCGTAAAGGTTGTCAATTCATAGGAAAGATCCTAACGCTCAGCGGTTGTTTCAAATCACTTATTTTGACGTTACATCAATGAATTTTGATCTGGGACCAGCATGCGCACTCTGCTAGCCACGGACTTGTCTTCTGGGAGATCTGGACCATCCGTAAAAGTAGTCAATTCGTACAAAAAGATTCTAGGAACCATCCATAAATGAAGTAACATATGTATGATCAATATTAGACCCCCTCCCCCTCGTAGAGTATTTTTCAATACATAATACATGACCGGTCCCAACTTCTGCAGAACCCCCTCCCAGAGTTGCGACCTATCACAATCACGATCGTCAAACAGCTGATGGTAGTAACGCTTAGTACATTCCTATCAATGTGCTTATCGAAGCACTCTCCATTGACGAAAGAAGTAAAAAGCAACTGGTGAATGTCGTCTTCGGTGTTGATCCATCACCGATATGGTCATTCCCGACAATCACGACACTCATTTGTGCTCGTTTTGAAACAGTTGCTGCTTTGCCTGCTTATGTGAGTGTGTTGGTGACTGAGCCCAACAGCTTCCGCTTAATTTTGCTAGCTTTGTTTGAAACTCACACAGTCACGCGTGCCGAGTCGAACGTGGAATGCGTACACTGTACACAAACATCATCCTCTGATCGAATGAAACCTCAGACCATTCAAAACAAAATACCGAAATCGCTTTTTCGAATGATAGCTGCAACCGGATGGCGGTTGTTTTGAAATCAGATGATTTTCCTCTCGAATACTGGATGAAACTTGTTACGAGAAGGGATAGGGTCTTCAGTTGAAATGCGTAATGCTCTCTGCAGAATGACTGTCATACTAAATGGAAATGCATATGGTATTGGTTCAGCCCCATAACGCAAATCATTCAAAACGATGATGTTAATAATTCTATCGAACGTCATTTGCTGATCTTAGCTGACAAACGAGGTGGAAGCATATGCATCGCTATCAGAGCTGTTACGAACAAAGGTAAAGGATGAAAACCAATGTTTGGTTAATTCGTGGTGGAGGAGGTTTTCTCCACCACGAAATTTTTTTGTATCCATGATGGAATGGCTTATTATGGCTATTCAGTATGGAATTGTACATAATCAAATTATAAATCTAATTAAAAGCACTTGCATGTCACACTATTCTTAAATGTTTGTCCTCTGAGTGCAGTATGTTTTATTGCTAATTTTCAAACGAAAATCATCCTGTATTTGGATGACAGTCATATGGATGTTCATCATCTGACGACGAATTCAACCATAAGAAAATCATCCGAAATTCGAATGCTTATTGTTAAAGGGCTAGAGCAAAGCAATAATCATTCGAAGTATTGCGGATTGTTCAGTTTAGGCAGTGTTTTCATTTTCTTCTGTCGTTTCCCTTTTTCTCATCATTGTACTGTAGAAGTCTTCACTGTATTCGTTATGCTTTTCATCATCAGCAGCGAGTGTTACGTTTTGCCTGAGAGCAGCGATTATTACTCGTGATTGTTGTTTGCCATGGCTCTACCTCTCACTGCTTGACAAAATGTTCAATCAGCGATAGTCGGTAGATGCTTTGACGAGTGTAGAGTGAGTGTCATGGTATTATGCATCTCTGCCCCCTCCCCCTTAAAATTGATCGTTTCCTTGAGCTTTTTCCAGTTTCTTCTACATGTATTCTTGAGCCGGAAAGGTTCATCTGTTTTCCAATAGAAGTTTATACCGACTTCTTTCGGAAGCTACTTTGACTTCATACGAAAGCTTCTTCCAACACCCCTCAAAAGTCTCATCAAACTTCACTTGGAAGTTTCTTCTGGCTCCTCCCTCTGGGGGCAATTTAAAAGTCAACCAATAAAGATCAATTTGCCCACGGATTCAGGTAACCACCATCCCAAGTAACAATTTGGGTTTTATAAGGGTTCTGTAGACCATGATTTAGACTTGTAGAGTGCTTTAAAACCTCAATAAATCTTGCAATGTTACCTGGGATGACAGGCCAGCACAGATCTAGAAATTTTTGCATTAAATTATCACTTTTACTGATGTTCAGGATCTTACGGAGAGCCTCCTTAACGCTAAGGCACACATTTTGGCCTTCAATCCAACAATAATATTAATGTAGGATCACAATAAAGAATCACCAGGAATTCATGGAGCTCTTGGATTTTTTTTAAAACCACTATTACGAATATTCTTAATCTTCTGGGGGAACACGTTGTGGCCAGCAAAGTGCGCACGCTGGTCCCAGATCCAAATTAATTCATGCAGCATCACAACAAGAGCATTAAAAGCAGCGGAGCCTTAGAATCTTTTTAAAGAATTGACCACTTTTACGGATATTCTGGATCTTCTGGAGGACCGTTCCTTGGCCAGCCGTTCCAAATTAATTCATAAAGCTTCACAACAAGTGATTTTAAAAAATGGCGGAGGTCTAGAACAATTTTTGCAAATTGACCACTTTTATGGATGTTACAGATCTCCCAGAGGACTGCTCTGTGGCCACTAGCATGCTGGTTTCAGATTCAAATTCATTAATGTAGCATAATAGAAAAATCGCTGAGCTATAGGATCTTTTTTTACGAATTGACAACCTGTCCGAATGTTTCGGATCTTCCGGAGGGACGTTTCTTGAACCCTTCTTCTCCTTCACATTTCTTGTTGCGTGCTCTCAATTTAGTGTTCTAGATGCACTTCCACAGTTATTAATTGAGCGCTTTCGATGCCTGTACCATTTCTGCATTAGTATAATTGTGTTGCAAGAACAATCATACTCTAGGTATGCCCAGGGAAGTCGAAATACTTTACAACCCGAAAAAAAAACCGACTGGGGCCCCATTTCTTGAACCCCTGGGTCTATTTTTTCCCTCTGTTTGGGACATAAAACCACTGCGACCAGTAATTTGATCTATTGTAGTATCTGGGTCTATAGTTTTATCTCATCCTTCAATCTTCAATCTTCACGGTTAGGAATATCAATATCATCATCGTCAATATCATCAGTTTCAGCTCAAATTTCGATAACAGGTTTAGCAACTACACTGAAAATATTTATTCGTTAATTTTTCCACGCTTATTTCGTAGAAATGGGTGTCGTACATAAAACAACTTTTTCGTTAATTGCATGTTGTTAGTTACAACGCCAACATTACGCATAATTCGTAAAATACAAGAACTGAATTTCGTATTGACGTAAACCTCGCCTACAAAAATCATTCGTGTATTCGTATACACTACGAAAAACATTCGTGCATACTATCTGTCATAGCTACGTTATTCGTAAATATTACGAAACCATTCGTTGT